AAAACTACCACTATAGGCCGAACTCTGAGAAATGCTTCAGTTCTTCAGCCAACATCTATGGTGGTAATGTTCAGGATCACACAGCCGATTATCGTATCTTCCATCACCTCAGCATTAAACAACTGTATCGGACCAGTTGAATAGGCTCAAACATGGTGAGGTGATTGACCCTGGCCCTAATGCATTGCCCACTCCCCCTTCCCTCTCTATGTCTTACAATTACCTGAAGAAAGTGAATATGAAAATCAGCAATTCCGACATTTACGCATAATTTAATTTATAGGCTTGCTCACCTCTATACAGTAATCTTTATAGTCGTCCTGAATCGACGAATTTTTTAAATCATCAGCAGAAACAGAAGCGCTATCCGTCTGGTTCATGTTCATAGCCCTTTCCAGCGAAACTGGAAGAAATAGGTTCTAAAAAAGCGTCTCTTAGTTTTCACANTGCAATCTGATCATGTTCCAGATATCCCAATGAGCCTGAACTCAAAATCGACTGAGAATACAGATGATGGCCCTTTCAGAATCTCTTTCCTTTTTGTCATGTCTGAAGTGTACGAGCGGTAATGCCGAACACAATAAATAAGAAAAACGCACATAAGGTGCGAATAAGTGCAGACGTCAACAACTTTACTTTCAGCAAAATCTGCTACCGCAACAAACACCTTGCTCTATCTGTGGATATTGAAGTTTTGCAGTCAAATTGGGCTCGGTAGATGAAAGACGCTCTGGTTGAACATATCCAAATTTCGCGCGATTTGGTCTACTAAGAAAAAAGTTATGAAAGAAAGAAGGTTAAAGCATTTCACCGAAGACTTTCGAGCGCTACTGTATGAATTTTCGGCAGATACATTATGTAAACCTATATAATAAATTTATTGCGTGAAAGTAAAACATTTATCAAACAAAAACTCATTATATCACGTCTTATAACTATGAATGAATAAATTTACAAAAAAAAATTACTATGTGCTAGTTAATATGCTTTTAAATCACAGCTACTATGGTTTTCCTCAAGGAAACGGATAAGGGTGGATCTGGTTGTTAAAGAGGACCACAAAGATGAACTGTATTGATTCTTGATCAGCCGATTTTGGATTCGATTCCTTAGATTTTTAAGCTGATCTATTCTGACCCAAACTCCCTAACAGCTTCGATCGGCTGACTTTTCTGTTGCAGACTGTTAAGTGTTGGCACGAAGGACTGCCAAGAACTGCTATGACAAATGCTTGCCACGAATTCTAGCTGGTAGGATGCCACGAATTCTAGGAACCACTTGGGAACTTCCGGAAAACCTCAGCAGATATCTGGGCTACAGCCAGAATTCCGGAAGGTACATTCTAGAGACGAGCTCATGAAGGAATGAAAGAATAAGTGGTCTTTTCATGAATTCCTCGTCTTGTAAATCTATCTGAGTCATTCATTACTACCGTTACTTGTTCCTATGTAAGTCGTTGTAATGAAATATATATGAAGATAATTTGATTTTGTTGTCTCCCTCAACTCATTTAACCTTTTCCGGCAACATGTAATGTTAACCGCCTCTATAATCTGATCTTCCAATCAAACCAAGTTTTGCTTTTACTTGGAACACCCTTAGTTTAGTAGCCGTTTTCTGCACGTTTTCGACCTCTTGGGCTGAATACGAGTAACTCTCAAAGTCTTACGGTAGGAGCAGTACCATAGCAACATATCAGACTCTATCTAAGAAGCCGTCAATCATTGCTCCTGGACGAGTAGTCATATGAGTAAACGAACATCAGTTTCAACCTCGTTTCGGATTCGAATCCCGGGTCGGTATGCGCCCAGGTCAACCGAGCCTCCAATCCTTACGGGGTAGGTGAATTGGTACCAGACTCGTCTTGGAGGATATAGCACTGACTTGTACATCGGCTGACCACCGCAATCCATTATGAAGGCTAAACACTTATTCACCACGCCATTACAATCCTGAATTCAAGTCGAGTGCGTGGGTGCATCCTCCGGACAAAAAAGACTAATGCCCAAAACTTTATCCTCTGTTCTTTATGGTTATTCTCTAGCCCGAAACTCAGAAGCTTAGCATATTTGCTGAGTTTACAGTTAGTTCGATAAGTAATTCTTTGAGAATCTCGTTCTCCGAACCTCCAACCTTATATTTATGTCCTAAAACTGAGCATTAGTGACTCGCACTGTAACTTGGCTCGGGAAAACCGAATGCTTACAAATGTTACCTACTGTCGGGCTAAAGAAAGAAGAAATAATGGGACGAGTCATACAGATTTGACCAACATTATGTTCTTCTTCTCGCTATCTGAGGGTAATGGTTATGTAATCGCTCAAGGTAATCCTGAATTAACTGTACAATGTAAAGGAAGTTGGCTTCGACACAAAATGCCTATCAAATCCCATGAATGATGGATAATACTCGTAATTTCTCATTGAAGTTGAAGTATTGCTCGTCCAAAGAGCAGAAAGCCACGTCGTTTCACATCACTGCATTCTTCTCGATTAGCTTCCCAATAGTTTCCCAGAACTCTATAATATTCTCTTTTTCGGGCAAATACAAAATGAAGGAAAGTCAATTTCCATGAACAAGTATCAATTACCATGTATGTACATAGGTGTCGCGATTCATGGCCGAGGCCATAGTCCATGATCAAAGGCATGGACAAATTGGATAGGTAGGAGAGACTATGAGCTACTAGTATCTAGTGACTAGGAAGTAATACCCTAAAGAAAAGGAAGATGTTTCAACGTCAGTACATCTGATTACAGCCTTTGAAGGAATGATTACAAGCTGCGTATTAGTGATAATGCACTAGGGCAGGCTCCCAAGGATTCTGGGAATAAGATAACAAGAGGGATTCATCATAACCTCTTAGCTGGAATATTTTTTTCAGCGAAGGGGAAATGTTATTTATTTGGGATGGGAGTAACAACAGGATCTGTACATCACCTCCGCCCAAAGTAAAATAAAAATATAAATTTTTTAATAATTGTGTGACATCTTACGGCTTCTGAGACTGGGAGATGGTGATTACTAAAGGAGTACTACCTGGTGGAACTCACCCAGCTACGCAGCTCAATCCCTCAGGAAAGAGTTCAGGAAACCGTTCTGATTCACGTTACCTTAGCATCACGGATGGATGAACAGAACTTCCCCGAGATGCTTTCAACCCTTATATTAGTACAAATCTTTGAATTTTTTCGATCCATTTTCCTCGAACCAATGCTCTAATGAGCTCAGCTGAGAATGCAAGAAAATCCTGGGATCAATGCTGTAATATAAATGCATGGGATGCCATCAGGAATATCAGTCTAAAATATCAAATGGGAAGGAGAAGATAAAACTTGCAAAAGCGCTAGTGTCATGCAGTGCCACAAAAGAATAACTCCTGCTATGGAAAGCTCAATAGAAGGATTATTGTGAAAGATTATTGGTAGCAATAAGAGTAAGGTGTAATTCTTTCATTCTTAGTAATTTTCCGGAATCTCCCCTGCCATGAGCCACAAATCCACTATTTAAGCAGAATACTAGAAACGTTCTGTTGGTGAGGAGAGTTATACAACCAATATTTCTCGGGCCAGGCAGTAGTGTAAGGGGTTGCATATATTCTGAAGAAGACGATTGCGTCGAAACTTTAGGCCGTTGACTAAATAAATTGTTCCACCTAAGAATCGTACGGCACAAAAGTATCTCAATCATTGCGTATATTAATCATACATATAGTTGCAAAAGAAGCATAGCAAACACTGTAAAATGGGCGCTAATGCCTCTCAAAGTGGAAACTTCCAACTTCAAAAATTCAAATGTTTTCAACTTAAATTCATTGAATCTCGACCTAATACTGAGAGAAGGAATACATTGGGATGCATGAGATTCTGCGGAAAATCTCTACTGGAACACTTTTTAGTCCGAATTCCTCCAACGCTTTTTCGGGAGCTTCCATGGAAAAATACAGAAGGCATGAATATCAGGGAAGTTCATGATATCACAATCAGTTGACCAGATTGAAGTTCATCTTCGATCTTTTTGTATCAGGATGTGAAGCGTTGGAACGGCGTGTGCTTAGAACCTCTCAGGAGGAGCTTTCAAGCCATATGCTTGATAAAAGTTTTAGTGATTTTCAACACACGGGTGCCCTGATTTGAACTTCTAAAGAGGTACTTATTGAAAATGGGTGGTAAGCTTCCAGAAAATACCAGGAAAAATTTGGAAATCGTGGAAGAAATTTTTTAGAAATTTTACAACCTGATATTAAGCATGTGTGGAAATAAAGCACTTATCAGTCAAAAAGTTATTGTATCATGTCTTACAACTGTGAAACGATTCTTTACAAAATAGCTTTATTCAATGACAGTTAATAAGCTCTTTTGACCACAATTCAATCTAAGTTATATTTATAAAAATAGTCAAGGATGGATCCAGCTGTGAGAAAAAACTATAGAGATGGTTCTTACGGAATCTCGTTTAGCGATTTTGAAGTACTTCCAGTTTTCCCGATTGAAAAGAGCCGATCCATCAGTAACTTGACCAAAACGCTTGACAAGTTCGACCTTTACATGGGTTCCTCATCATCCCAACCCCACTACATAACTCACGGGAAGATCACCGATTCGTTAACTCCTCAGGAAGTCAAAATACATTGGGAAAAATATTATAAAGCTTTCAGTACAATCAGTACAGAAAAAACCAATGAACAAAAATTGGGTAACAGACAATGGGTACAGAAAGGGGCTGCCTTTATAACAGAGGCCGTCAAAGCCTCACTCCGCCCTCTGGAAACTGCTAGAAATTCCTTCAGGAAGCGCTCCAATTTAGTTATTCAACAATGAATTTGTTAAACTAAGACCATCACTATCACAAAAGTGGTCTTTTGAGGCCATTGTGGCTATTTAGCAATCCAATCACGGCTCTTGTAACACATCATCGCTTTTAGTATAAAATATGTCATGAAAAGCGCTTTATATCGATGGTCCTAATCAATTTTCACCTAAGTAATTAACTAAATAAGTTTAAATATTGATATTGGCAAAAGTCTCATGAATTTTTGCTCTCATAGCATTTTCATTAAGAACGAAGTCTGTGGCTAGTTCAATAAAGCCGTCGCGAGTCGTCAGTTGGGGATCAACGAATGTGATCGAATCCTGAAATACTCTCAAATATCCTAGAGTCTGAACTTCCATGATTGCAAAAATGGAAGAAACGAACCTTTAGGGGAAATGGTATGCCTTTCTTGAGAGCCTGGCTGAGCTGTGGTCCGATAAAGGTCTTCGCCAGGGGCGCCAATTGCTCTATTGAGGAAGGATCCATTCCAGCCAGTGATGTACGGTGAAGACGTACGGACAGCCTAAAAACTTTCAAAAAATAATGTTCGAAAGTGAAATTTAAAGTGGCAGATGATGGGCCCATTTAGGTACAGGCCTAGTCCCGTAAAGTCGATAGTCTGAGTTTCAGCCAAGTCAACACGATAGTCAAACGGTTTCAACCCTGCTTAAGCTCTACGTTCTGACTCACAGACCCGTGAGTTCTCACAACCCTTGACTTCTCACAAACCTCAGGGTCTGCTCCAAAATGTACCCTGCGCCCTGTGCAGTCTGAACCCGAGGGTTTGAGACAATTCAGAAAGCCTATCTCTGCCATTCTCAACCATACCTAGTCAAGGACCTTATGCTGACCGAAGCGATGCTAGCGGTTTTTCAGTTTGCGAATGAGCTCCAGCAGCTTTTTCAATCAATGAAGGCCCAGTAAAGTAGTGATAGAAGTCTGCAAATACTGCTGCCCTTTCCTCAATAAATTTACTGTCTAGCGACGGCCAAGTACCCTTCATATCAAGCGAGTAACATTGTGGCATGGATTGGCAGATGTACCGATGTACCAATTATCTTGACATTGTTCATGACTCGTAGTTGTATGTGTGTTGGAGATCTCTCACCGATTCAGTTTCAGATCTCCTCCGAGGTGTCCGTTCTGGGCGGCAAGTAAGACGTCAGCTTGTCCGTCTGCTGAGGACACCATTATCTGCTTTTCCTGTCCGTGATCGTCAACGTATGTAAGTATTCGAGCTGAAAATAAGATATTTGAGATTTATTCATATTATTCTATACTCGAGTCTATTTGGATATATCCAGACCAAATACTCTAGTAGGGCCATACATTCCAGTTCCTAACGATGAAGTAGGCAGAAATGTGGAAGTCGCAAGGAACGAAAGAGTGGCGTATCTCTCAGGCCCCACTTCCATAGAATTCAGAAAAGGTCAGAAGAAGGGGCAGGATGTGCCGCTTTCCGCGAAAACCGCTTTTAGAAATTGCGATTCAAACTGTAAAGTGAATCGAGCAAAATAGGGCGCTGTGTGGCATGGCTTCACCGCAGATTATGAGCGATCCAAGATAATGCAGCTCACCCGTAGAGAATTGGAACTTTACTGTATTCCTATGCATTGCACCGCCTTTCCCACAGTCGTCTACATTTTCACTGACGTTTTGTATTCTGTTGGAGCATACGTACTTGACAGCATAATAGCACCAGCATCACCGTTGAACTGGAAATCTGGTAGGCCATGAGGTAGTAGTTATTCGGATACTCCTGAAAAAAAATTCGGAAAATGTCTGGAAGAAAATGTTCCCCGAACGGCAAAGCCTTTCAAAAAAAGCCTGATTTTTTCAAAAAACGGTAATTGTTTGCTTCACTAAAAAAGTGAGTTCTTTTGAAATCGGTAAGAGTATTGGAACTGACCTGTGCTATAGGCGGAATCAGTTTCCCAACGCATATGGACGAAGTGAAGTCACCAGAAGTTCCGCTTTCTCCACAGCTTGTCGCCAAGAAGCCGCGATATTTTTTCGAAATATTATTCTTATTTAACTGAAAATATCGAATGACCTGGTCTAAAGTTTTTTTTAGGCTCAGCTGAAAACCTCCTAAATGGTCGAGATAACGACCCTCTACCGCCTAGGAGACCACACCAGACAACTCTTTCAAACTTTTGGGGCCTACACCGTTTTGCGGTCATAATCTATCAACAGGTAGGAAATTGAAGGTTTGGATTCACTCAATGGAAGCATTTTCAGCTATTTTCAAAGGAACCATCTATGTATGTCCCCAAAACATTCTGGAGGCTATATTGTCTTGACCGAAGCTTTTTTCATAGCACGTGAGTATTGCTTCCATCGTACCCGAACAGGTGGGTCGAGAGGTAGTTGTCCGATGTAGGTCCGGGAACCCTGATTTGATCTTTGCAATATCCCAGAACAGATGATTGCCTTTCATGACTTTTTCAGGGTGAGACACTTACCTACGTAATAGGGCTCGTTTTTCATTTGAAAAGGATTTACTTTTTTTGCTTCAGACTCAAACTCATTGGTAGAAAAAGTCATGAAGTCATGACAATTACCTCGGGATGTCACGAGTGTTTTCGAGGTATATGAAGAGAAAGGAGTGGAGGGGGAGTCAGTCACAATGGTTATATGTTGTTGCTAATTTCTTAATTTTAAACCTCGGAGAGCATAAAGTAAATTGAGTGAAAACATTTTTTTTAAATACCTTTTAAACTGACCTTTATCGATAGTTTGTTGGTTTGATAAGCATGATAAAGAAGTGAATTGAATATGTAATCAGATCCATAGAAATAAAGCATCCGATTCGACTCGTTGTCAGTGTACATTGGTCTGAAATCGAATTTTAGTCAGGTAGAAATTGAATTCATACATGAACTACTTGTGGAGATAGAAAACAGTAAGTAAGGTCATTTAATTGAAAAGAAAAGTTTTTGTCAATACTCTGACATTAAAGCGCTTTCATTGTCAGCTGTTTCTTACTGCCTTAAGTAATTCTGAGGGCTGAAACTAAAGAAGCTCAAATAGTCTCACGATATAAGGGAATGTTTTTCAGAGGGAGGTTTTTCAAATTAATGAGTAGTAGTGAACTATCAGACATAAGAAAATGGGCCAAGCGTATCCGTAAGGGTAACTTGCCCTATGACTAGAGTAAGAAGGATGGCTACAATCACCAACAAACTAAGGTAGTTCAAAAAATTCGAAATTGATGGCTGGGATCCAGCATAAAGGTTCTTTGAAAATGTTTTTATTTCGCTACATTATCGAAGTTCCATTGTACCCCAATCGGAAGAAGTCTTACCTCGGATAGAAGGGCGTATTTTCGTCATTACTGGTATAGCGAATTTCTCCTAAAATTAGAAATTCAGAAAACAAATTCCAAACTGATAAGAGAAACTAAAAATGACTACAGAGGCAATAATACTTTTTTAAAAGACCATGGATAAATATGCTGATTGCAGCTACGTAGTGATGCTACCTCTATCATGATGCTAGGTGGAATGCTCGCTTCAATTCAGGTGATCCTCCCGTGCTGACTAAGAAAGCTTCTTGGTCCATTAGTATGGCTACGCAGAAATGACATTCCCGACCTCACGCATAACGCCCACAGGAAATTGCGCATACAACTTTGCTTGGGTTTTACCAACAAAATGTCTTTTGTACAACCCTGTTTATCTTCAGAGTTTTTCTTCTGATCATGTAACTCTTGGTTCTACCATGTAGGCCTTATTAGGTAAATATGTATTGTTTGACAGAGCTCAACGATGGAAACACTGATTCGGTGCTCAAATCATGAAAGTTCTAGGAAATCACTGAGGAAGTCATGTATAGACTCAATTCACACAGCGATTGCGAACGGAGGCCGAATGCATGGCGAATTCTCGAGAAACCAGACATTTCATAGTCTATCGTTCTTCCATACAAAGTTATAGGATGTCTAGACGATTGGCTGACAATTCAGTGAGTCAAAAGCAATAAGCAAGCAACAAATGGAACCATAATTAGATCTATATTACAAAATTATCAATGATATCTAGTGATAATGAAAATAAATTTGAATAAAGTTGCAATACATAAATGCAATAACTAACCTCTTTGTTGGGTTTCGAAGTATTCATTAGTGACAATTGGATCGCTTATATGCAAGTTGTTGATATACATACCTCTTACGAAGTCACTAACAAATCTAAAAAGTAGTCTGTCATCAACTCAATTTTGTTTTTAATCATAGTCCTTCAAGAAGTCTCATTTAGGAGACTAGAGGGTTGGATAGATGTAGTGCAGTGGCTAGAGGAGTGAAGTCCTATTCAATCTCCTTCAAAGATCATTTTACGAGCAGATTGACAGTATTTTGAGATCTGGAAATCAAAAAACCACGGTTGTCCTCCGAAAGGGAAGACTGGCAAAGGTTTAAGCCATATCTACAGAAGGAAAGTCAAAAACGCTTTTAATTCTGAAAAAGAGACAGTTGGATGACCCACTCCCAGACTAAGCACATCACACCAGAGCCTATCAATTTTTCCGTGACTATTCGCCTCTTTCTGGGTACAAGGCTGCTCCCTTTCTTCCCAGACTACTTGTATGTGGGATCTCTGAATCTCATGAATTAATCCGTCCTTGCCATACCCTCGANACAGCTCATTAGAAACATGAGAGTAGACGACACGTCTGCATCCCTGCCTACAATTCAATTCCATGCTTCGACCATCGAGGCTCTTCAAAACTGGANAATCGACTAAATGACAATCATAAAATATCGCCGGGCTTGGTAGAAGTGGAAAAGGGACCATGCGTTGTCTAAGAGAAAGCCTTCTTTTTGAGAGATTCGTGCAAACGTGCACTGGGATAAACTTTATTCTAAATCCAAGTAGACTTACTTTTTTATCACTGGACTGTCGACAAGTCGAAAATCCTTGAAATGCTCTTGGAAATCGGTACGAACTAGTTTTTGGAAAAGCCGTGGCGAATTGTCTTCGATAAGGTGCTTCAACTTTTTGCAGAACATTCCGGGTATTCGATTTCGAATGCCTTCGTTGATGAGGCCATAAAAATTTCATGTTAGAAGTAATTTTCTCGGAAGTTCTGTTTAAAAAATGCTCGATGAAAAAAGGAGAACGCTGTGGGTACCTCTAACGTTTTCACAAGAGGTCCCATAGGTCCTTGGGGATCGATGTTGAAATGACTATGGGTAATTACCGTCGAGCAGTTCGGGACCTAAAAATCGTGGATCCTTCGAGAAATTTCGTTTGTAGAAAGACAGGTATCAGTCTTAAGAATGTCATTAGCTCTGGGAGATCGTCTACCTGGACGCCCATTGTACCGTCCACACTGGTAGCAAATTCCGCAGTCAATGCCACGGTCATTCCAGTGATACTTCCATCGACAAATCCCTCCACTTGAAATGGACCGCCCGTACCATAAAATGCCCCAGCGAGGCTGAAAAGGTGCACCCAATCACCTCCATACTGAATGTGAAAGGTAAATATAGGTCACTGAATCGGATTAGGGCGACTTTGATTGAAACTCACGAAATGTCCATGTTCTCTAGACCGAGGATCATATAACGAGGCGGAAGGAAATTGACCACAGAAATCTGAAAAACAACCCGACGTTTTAGAAATTTCCTGACCAAATCTCATTTTACCTGTGGTGGATTGTAATGGAGCACTCGCACATCCCTCAGAAAGACCTGCCCTTCGAGACCAGGCTGTGAGATGGCGAACTGGGTGGAATAGCCGGAGAGCGTTGAGATTTGCTCGTTCAGTAATCGAACACCGACCGTTTTCAAGTGATTAATGCCTTTCTTTGTCAATCGAATTTTCACGCCAGGATTTCCTAAAACATCATATTTGCATGATTTCCCAAGATCTTGCCTTTAATCTACCCGTGCTGTGATGGGGAAAGGTTCGGACTCTCTAACGAAAACCGCCTGCGATCCGATTGCAATGAAAACACATTAGATTCGAATGCTTCCATGATCAATTCTGGGCACAGCTGTATCGAGTTCTAAACAAAGATGAGAAACTGTAGCTTCGATCTGAGGGTTAAGAGGAGAAGCCGTGACCGAGCCGATTTAAAATTTTCTGCCCACCAACCTCCTCCTAACTACGGTCTCCATTACAAAGCATAGCTCTTGCAATGTTGTGCAGAGACCAACCGATGCATAAGCCACTGCTTTTATCCTCCCAGAAGTCAAAGCACTGATTCTGGAGGAATGGATTAGCTTGAGTAAACCAGTCGGACACTGATCCTGAACTTGATCCCGGGACCGTAAGTGCAGTAGTGAGTCATTTGGTACTACACCAATCGCGATGACATTTTTTGAATAGCCTCGTACTTTTCATTCGAGCTACACGTCACTCGCAAACCAATGCCCAGATCGAAATCGGAAATCTAACGATGAGCCAGCGTCAAACCTGTGATCCATGGCTAACTTTGATGGACTTAAATTCGCTAGCATTGAAATCTAATGAGCGTATAGGAAAAGTCATTGGGTTTGATTGATTTCAATCATAATCTCGACTGAGTGGCACTTTAAAGGAACCCTTAATGGTTCATTTTTCGGTACATTCGAGCCTATCGGATGATGGCAAGTAAGAAGTCTCGAGCTACCTCTGCCCAGAGCTTTTTCCTTGCCAAAGCCGATCGAATTCACTCCTTGCACAAGTGGTGGCGCAGAAAAGACTAGCAGTCTGGTCAACCGAGTCACTTACCTGACAGAGGCATGATGCGAGGCAATCCCTTCGAAGAAGGAAAAAAGGGATAATAAAGTACAGAAGTTGAAATTAAAGCTGAGATGTTGAGTTCTTGGTGAGTGATTGCGAAGGTAATCCACCCTTTGGTAGGGTTTTTCACAGCCTTCTTTACTTAGTGCACGAACCATGATGATAACGCTCTACAGCTCATTAGAAACATGAGAGTAGACGACACGTCTGAATCCCTGCCTACAATTCCATTCCATGCTTCGACCATCGAGGCTCTTCAAAACTGGAGGCAGGCCTCGATAGCAATGCCCGTTTCCAACTATGAAGACTCTTGATGGGGGCTAGCCAATGCACAAGTCAGTCCTTTTACCCAGGCAGGCAGGTTTGGTTTTTTATGCACCCGGAGGGATGATAGGCTCGATTGGCCTGGTCGGGTATCGACCCAGGATTTGATTTCAGACCATGTATTTATGACAGTGTGCTGCTTACCACCTACTATACCAGCTACCCCCCCCCCTTGATCTGGTGATAATGGAAGTGGCTTATTCCCTGGTTATGGATCTGCACAGAAGCACAGAAGAAGTTTGCAAGAACTGCCATTTTCAATGTCCTACGCTGTCGAACATCAATTTTAGCGATTTGAAAAAATGGCATTAGTGTCATTTGATTGGAATGGAAGCGCTTAAACTGCCTAGCTCGAGACTCTCATCAATTCCGAACAAGGTATCAATTGAGAGCAATTTCCAATAGCACTGAATACAATTTGCTAGTTCATCAGAGCCAATCCAGCTTAGACTAAATTGTCACCGTTCTGAAGTGCAAGGGAGGCACACCAGTATCGGATGGGCCCACGAATGCTGCATATTCAGCCAATTGGATCACGGCTATTAAGGCGTTTGGCCCATTGTACCGTATTCGAGCAGATGAATCCGGTTATGAGTAGAAGATCGGTCACAGTTGATTTATTCCTTCTGTCATCAGCCACAAAAATTACTCTCACGCAAAATCGTAGAAGCGATTCAAGGGGCATCGAGTCTACCCATTGTTCCAAGAATCCTAGTAGCACTTCTACTCCATACTTGTCGAGCTTTTTTGATTGCAGTAATTCCTTCCACTCTCGCTAGCTGCTTTTCTAGCACCGTAGAGATGGAAAGTGTTGGAGAAATACAAACATGCCTATTGATTAGGGTAGTTTTCCAGAACCAAAGAAGAATCAGGTTGCCCGGGGTTATCCATACCCGTTAGCGATCACAAATCGAATGCTTCTCGCATTCAATCTCGTTTTCATTCGTCACCCATGAACTGGATAATTGATTCACCGTCAGCAACCCACCAACCGTCCGTCTAAGCTAGTTCTGTAGCGAACTGGCAGAGTCGTCGAACCAGACCCAGCCAACTGGCTGACCCTCGGTCCCGTCTGTTTCAATTCTGGAAGATCAAGTGTCGGAACTGATTGGTCTGTACAGAACTGGAACTAAAAGGTTCATCCGTTGAGACTGAAAGGTTGATTCTAGAAGGAGAAACATAATATTGACTGCTTCCGACCACCACAAAGAAAAGGCGGTAGAAAGTCAAGAACAGAAGCCATAGTTTAGTGTAGTGTTCAATAAGGGAAAGTGCGAACGAAAACAGAAAGAAGTAGTCGAGAAATCGAAATCTCTCCGTGGATGAATCATTGAAAGCGAAAAGGCTGACGAAATGACTCCTGAACCATTGTTGAACCAACCTGGCGTTTTATACCATTCAGCATGTTGATAGATTTGTCGAGTGTCGATCAGTTCACCGGTCACAAGTACGAAAAAGGCTATCGTTAGCCATCGGTCAAAAGTTCGCATTGTAGCACGTTTTAGAGTGCGATCGAATGCAACAGGATGGATCTCAGACAGACGCGAACTGGATCTCGAATGTAAGACGTCTCTCGAAAAGGAGTGGTGGCGCTCGGATGCGATGAATGCGACCCCCGCCACGACAGGGGGTCAACACCGCTGCTTTCTTTCCATGGTTCCGCTAATCTACTGGGCTATACTGAGGGAGCAGTGAGAGATGCTGTAGTACTGAAATGGAGCTCTTGATGAGTGAAAGTTGCCCAATTTTTTGAGAGTAAACTGCCCAAATAGCTCCTGAGCGCTCCTCATGTTGACGGCATTTTAGGATATTTCTTGTTTCAAGCTGAACTCCGGCCCTGTTTATAGAACGAAAAAGTTCAGCTAGGAATTCAACACCGAAGCGAACACATTTTACACTAGCAGGGAGAAATCGCTTAATGGCCAGCTTGAGCTGGCTCCCCTTCCCGCATGGACATTAATCTCTTTCTAATGACTACCATGAAACATGAGGCGGCGACAGAAAGACTCTTCAAATCCCTCTACATCCGTCTCCTACCCTCTTCACATAGACTGGCTAATTATAAAAACCATCTTGGATGCTCCAACCAACCCAGCTAGGCTTATGAATGCCCCCGAAAGTACTCGGAAAGACGACTGCATGGGTCATTCAGATTCAGACCATTCAGCTTTTGATGACTTTTGATGAAATGGATTCTTTTGAAACTGATCGGTTAAGATCGAACCCTCATACTTTTACCCTAGAGCTGTTGGCAAATAGGAGGACCTTTGTAGGATAGCGCTTAACGGGGTTGCTAACTTGCTTCTACGGTCCAGGATCGGATCCGGGATAGTTCAGCTGGTATCACCCCGCTACTTGCCATTCCTGGAGATAACATCGCTCCCAACTAATTCGCTGTATCCTTTCTGGTGCACTTTCTGGCAGCCTTTTGGGGTTAAATTTAGCCTCAAGATAATAGCTACATACATGGTCATGGAGCATACCTTGGGTAAGCACTGACCTCTCTTATAGCAAGTCTGATGAATTTTCTGTGTTAGAAAACAAAAACATCAACAAAACAGTTTTATACAAGCAATACAATTCATATGAAATGATACAACTTTTATAAATGACTATTGCCTTGATCGTTGGCTTTGCTCCTCGTCTTTCAGAGATGAAGAGGAGATGAAAAGAGATTCTCGCTTAACGTTGATGACTTTAGTCGAAGTCTTTTTCAAAAACGATCGGAATCGTTCGATAGCCCTTATGAGTAAAACCTCAAATGACGATTACTAATTGGTAGCAGTGATTTTTGAAAAAAAGGGTAAAAGAGGGTGAAAATACTATCAAAATATAATTGTTTCATCACCTATAATAACATTGAAAATCAAAGTGGAGACGATGGATTGAGAGGAAGTTCTTTTCAAAGTTATAAGGCATACAAAAAAATTAAAAAATGAAATGAAAAATTCGGGAATGTTGTTCGAGTAGATGAAAAGGGAAACATACCAAAAATGGAATCAGGAAATGACTAGAATAACTGTGGATACTTTACTACACACAAACCGACACTACAGTATAGTAAATTCGAGACCTACATGTTAACAAATCGATTATAATTGATGAAAATCTTGGAGTTCTGTATCGTCGTGTAGTTCGTGATTTGTCTTTTCGATTTCGATATCCGGACGGAAGAGAATTTTGAACTTCTGAACAAAATGACATTATTTTTGCTCTGAGTACACTCTTCTATCGAAAATAATCGATATACGCGCGCTTCGTGTGCACGGCACACTAAGCGCGCGCATATCGATTTTTTCGATGAAGCCGTCTCGCAACCGCGCGCACAGTCAGTTTGAACTACGTCACGTGCACCGCTTTTCACGAACACAAAAGGAAATTGTACAGTTATCCACAGTAACCATTGGCCTTTTATGCCAGAAATATAAAAGCAGTTTCCAACTTTTTCTGCATTGAGAGCTTTGAAAACGAATTCGCTGAGGGAAAAAATGCAAGCGTGAAGAGAGGGAATCAGCAACTCATTTTACCTCATATCAGTCCTTGAAAGAAGTTGAATTACAAACCTCGTAAAAAGTGCCATCAGTAGTACACCATGCATAAATGGCATAGCCAGGAATGCAAAGCATTGACGATAATGACAGGAACCAGCCGAATACATGGCCCCAAAACGGATAATCATAGTTGTAAGCAGCAATCCTCAACGGTTGGTATTTTACCAAACCGAAAATCATTACGCCCTAAAACAGTCAAATGATCAGAAAAGGGGAAATCATTGCATTAAGGAATGCGCACAATGCGGTTCGTTGGCGTATAGCCAAAAATGGTAAATTTGTTTCTTTCTGTTTGATTTTCCGAATTTTTGGTCAGACATAGAAGTGAAACTCTGCAGGTATTACATGCGCATCTGTGTGGAGAAAGGCTTCGGCAAGGGTCCCAGACCTTGTTCTCATGATTGCCCTGGATCCCGAACAATACTCATATAGCTGATCGTAAAAAACGATTTAAAATTACTAAATTGCCTACTCCTATCTATCCCTGAGTGCAACTGAAATCAGCATTTATCCTGTCACCTTTGTTCGATTTTAAGTGGGAATTCTCAGTTTGCCGGATGTGCTCCCCCATCGCAGCACACCTATGACAAATTAATTTCACCAGCTGTGGTCTCCTTCAAGATCTGTCAATGACAACTGTTCCTATTGGAAGGCGCCAGCCGCTGTCGGAATTGCTGGTGAAAGTGTGAGGTCAGCCAGTGTGAGATCACACACCATTTATCATGCTCATGAACTTCTACCGGTGGGGTCCGAAAGGATCATCAAAAAGATGTCTTCAAGAAAAATATTCTTTCAGATTAATGAGGTGGTATTTTGATTAGGTATTTTTACACCGTGCAAAGAATACCTCAACCACCAACAATGTACTCAATAAGAACAGTTTTGAGTACGATTCCTCCCACACAAAAAGTCATGGGACTAAACGATATGGCAGTGAGCTATCCAGGCATGTTTGGTGCTAGTTCATCTGAGGCGGCTTTATCGTTCTTCGGGATCCATTAGGAAGTTCGATACTATGAACATTAGTGGGGTGACGGCCCCATTCTGAACTTTTCAAGCCCCACCGTACAACTGCATGGAAGAGAAAGACATCGGAATCAGCACGAGTATTCTTCAACAACCTCGTTAGCCCATGGGAGCTCATCGGAGTACTTGTTTTGACTTGATGTTTTGTTAACTGCTGTTTTACCGCCGCAGTACGCGAAGCGAAAGTCTCACAAGAATTGCGATTTGTGGGCAAAACTCCAGTCTCGGACGGGACTCGA